GGGGGGCGAGGGGAGGGTAAAACAGACGAAACCACCATCACCCCGAAGAAGAAAGATTAAAGACCCAGCTTGTACGCCCTCGGCGGAATGATGGATGCGATCTCCGTGAGATGCGGGGCGCCGTTCGGCGAGTAGGTGGAGACTTCTATTTCCATTCCCGCGCTCGTTGTTCCCCGTTTCCTCACCGCTCCGCTCTTCCGCCCCCCGTTTATCCGCGAGCGTCACACGAGTTCCGCCCGCTGCACACGTTTCAATCAAAGCTGATACGCTTCCGCGCCCACACTTCGTTCCGCGAAAACGGCCGAATCCGTTCGCCGATCAAGGACGCTCCTCTCTCACCCGTGAAGTATTTTTCGGCGGAAAGATCGTCCCGCGACACGCGAATTTAGTCTCGGAGGCTCCGAGAATGCCGGGCTTCATGTTTTCCCACAGATTTCTTCGGTTTCGTATCTTCTTTGCGGATGAAAGCAAATGTCGCGGGTTTTAACCAAACCGCGTGAACTTCCCCACTCTTGGAGCGGAAACCGAAAAAATCCGCTGAAAATATTGGAAGAAACCGGCCTTTTCTCGAGCTTTCAAAAGTGTGAGCGCGAACTCCCCCGGAAGCGCGACGAAGATGCGAATATATTCGTCGCGCGATTTTATAACCTTCGTTCGTTGTAACCGAACCACATCGATAGAAAATTATAGTCGGTTGCGGCGCTAAACGTATCCTTTAATCACCAAAATAACCAGGGGAATAATTTTTCTAATAAATGTTACTATAGTATCAATGATAATAACTTCACACGCACGTTGCTACTATTCTAAAATGTTTGACAGCGAAACTAATCGTAATTTCCTATCGGTGTAGAAAGCGAGACAAACGTTATAACCTGTCTCGTTGAAAGGAAAAGGAACGAAGTCCCAGTGCAGCACTGGTTCAGCTAAAACGAAACAAGCCTATAAATTCGTCGGTCCACGGTACTTTGGGTTCATTAATTACCGATCGCACTCATTCGAAAGCCGTTCCCCTTAAACTGCGAGGTGGGCATCCCCGAAATGGGTTTGTCGCGCGGCCGGCGAAAAGGTATCGCGGCATTTTGCGGGCTTGCGCGCGCGAACAACAATCTAAATGGTAATCCAATACCACACCCTCTTCGCAAAAAGCGAAAACCGCGGTCGGGGCGGCGGGGGGTGACCGGGCCTTCGACCGGGCCCCGACCCCATATGGCAAAAATGCAGGCGCGAGCGAAGTGCGCGGCGACCCGTTGCAAAAAGCGTTAACAAGGCTGCGATGCGAGCCCGGCTAATTCTATAACTTCGTCCTCCCCCTGTGCTATCCTATCCGCTATTCCCGGCTCCGAAATGTTCCTCCCTCCCTCCCTTCCTTCCTCCGTCGATCGTCTCGTTCTTCTCCGGAACACCGTCAACGAACTTGCCGTTCGCGGGCGAACAGACGGTCGGTCGGTCGGTAATTATCTCCCGGCCGTGTAAAAATAATAATTAGCTTCCATCGTTGCATTAATTAAAGCGCCTCTCTCTCTCTCCACACGGCCCGTCGTTTCTCGTCTCGCGCTCGTGCAGGGGGAGAGTTCCGTCGTAATTACACGTCCCTCCTGGCACTAACCAGTGTCCCACAAAGGCGACCGCGCGAGTTATTCACGCCCACGACACTCGGCCTGGCATCGCGCGATTGCGCGATCGCGCCACGCCAAGTCCCGGCCGCGCCGAGAGTCGCGGCCGCCGATGCTACACCCCCCGGAAGTTATCGGATCGTTAATGCCCTACCTGCCCTCCCGATGCACTTCTTGGAGACTTCGACAGCCACGCGACAAGGCCGAATTATATTCGATACGTTCATCGCAAATTCCGACTTTCACTACAAAGCTGGAAGCCAACCAGCCTTCGTTCCAACAAGGAGTACCCAGCAAAGATTCAAAGGTTTACCCACCCGTGATCAGAACGGTGATGTCATATAGATTTATCTTGATCGCACGGAAAAGAAAATCACAGCTGAAAATCAACTTTCCGTATGATAAAACTGGAATTTGGTTAATTTAGCTGATTTTTCTGTCCCTGTGCCTAACTTTTAGCCCCCCTCCCCCCATAGTTAAGAACTGGGATCTAGCGAGCAAATTTCAGTTGTATTATACGAACAACCAATTCTTTTTTCGCACGTGCGACAACGGTCGACGATAGCGCAGATATTCTATCCGAGAAACGGAGGCACGGAGTGACTAGATGTACTTTGTTCTCGACATACCTGTTTGAACTGATCTTCGAAACTCCAGCTGGTCTGCTGAGTATTCGATCCCGGCAAAGGACTCGGTCCTGGCGGATGGCTCGGTCCCGGTTGCTGACTCGGTCCTGGCTGATGACTCGTTCCCGCAATGTTGTTCTGCACAGTGTTGGTGCACTCCATGCGCGCATTATGCGGCTCTCTGTGGCTGTTGTTGTTGTTGTTGGTCTCGCGGACCTCGGTGCTACTCGGACTGCTGTCGATCGGAGACGTTAGTTCCTCACTGTGACGGGTATTGACGGGCGAGACTATGCGACTGCTGGACACGTTGCCGAAATGTCCCAATTGCGAATGGTTACTATGCAGCTGTTGGTGCTGCTGCAAGAAATGCTGCGAGGCGAAAGCGAGGGCAGGACTGAAGCCTATGTTGCCATTGGTTGCGGCCTCAGTAAACGCACGGTCCAATCCTCTATTTTCGAGCAGTTCACTGTCATTCTGCAAGAGATTGCAAATGATTTCCTGTGTTGCAGAAGATTGACGATTAATTGATTCATTGATAAGGTATGGCAGAAGGTGTCGATCTTGTATAAAAAATGTACCGCCTGCGCAAGATTATGCCGACTAATTTTCACGCCACGGTCGCCACAAACGCTATTGTGCACGGGAATACCGTAGGATTCCTTATCAGAACGGCGATCATAAAAGATATTTGCGCTCGCCAGGCCCTGTCATCCGGTTTAGGCGGTTGCGTAATAAAAAGAAGAAATCTTTTGTCGCGGTGACACGATGGTAACTCATTTATGACTGTCAACGTCCGCTGTTACGACTATCTCACGATTTTCCACGAGTCGCGTCACTCCACCTTGCCACTTTTGTAGGTCAACGAACGCTCGACTCCTTCGAGCAGGTTTTATGACGAATTATGCGGCCGCTTATCTTCACGGAAACTCGACGGACTTCTGAACGCAAAGGGAACTTTTCGACAATGCGACCGTTTCGCGAAAGTTGCATCCGCGTCCAACCGATAAGAGAATGTCGCGGCCGACGCGGAAACGAACGTGTCGAAAGATCCGACGCGCGGAAAGAAGACATTTTCCGATACTCACCTCTAATTTCATCTTTATAAATTGCGGATGGGTGCCCAGCAAGGTTTGGAATGCAAATGCGGCATTCGGTACTAAATTATTGGCGGTCTGCAACGATCCGGTATCCAGTGGAGATTGCGTGCTCGGAAGCGGCGGCGGTTGATACAAGTCCTCGGTACTATCGTCGTCAGGATCCGAATCCGACGCATCTTCCTCTTGATGCGACTGAAATCATAAGAGAGAACACAACGATCGTTCGGTCCCGATTCAGGCAAAGCTTAGTATTAGACGCAGTATTTGTACACGGTAAAATTTATTAATTTTAATTTTGTGTTCAATTTGACACATTTTCACATGTGCCCAAACGGTCCGCAACAAATTTTTATGTTAATTTAACACAAAGTGAATATGTTGAAAACACAAATATTATGTCGAAAATTAACACAAAATGTTATTATTATTTTAGCCCTTACAAATGTTATTTTAACATTTATAAATATTCATAAATATTTAACATTTATAAATTATTCTAACACTTACACATGTTAAATGTCAACACAAAATATTAAGATAACATAAACACAATATGTTAAATTGACACACGGGTATGTTAAAAATTTAGCACAAAAATGTTAACAAGAACCGATTTTAACACAAGTGCAAAGTATTCTTTTACCGTGTATAACCGATTAAATAACGTGAGTTATTTAATCGTATAAATATATCCTCGAGAGGCTAATGAAACAAAGTGATCTCTTCAGTCTCTTGAGAGATCAATAATCGCGATCACTTCGTTCTCATTCTGTTGACTTCGTGGACTAATTTTGCCGACGCGCGAAAAAAAACCGATGACAGTCGGCGTATACGTTCACGTGACCAGAACAGAATAAGGAGAGGTGGAATCGGCTGATAACGTAATATCAACCGTGCAGTCATAATCGTGAGTAAGGAGGGCAGATATTGGAGCATTAAACATTAATTAGGAAAATGGCGAATGCGGTGAGTTATATACACCGAGATAGTCGCTATCGAGTAACATTATTATGCCACGGGTGTCATAAGTGTTTTACAGCCATGCCCATTGCGCCGCTGCGGGCATAAAAATGTACAAAGTCGCATTACCGAGAACGGAAATGACCATCGTAAAACAAAACAAGAGAGAAGAGATGAACGTTCCATATTTTTTCCTCGCTCCGAATTAACTCAAGCTCTCGATAAATATCTCGCGCGCGATTCTCGAATATCTACGACGAGCGTCGAATCGCGTGTTGCGCCTATTTTTCCCCGTGTCTCACGTTAATCGCCGGTAAATTGTCCTCAAATGAAAACATGAGACGAACACGCCACTATACCGCTGGAGAAAGAAAGAAACGGAGAGTGCTCTTTTTGTCTAAGAAAAAATGTAAATATATATACATACATTTAAATTCATCGGAGCTTCGAGTTCGAATGACGAGAGGCGAGCTTTTACCTGGAAAAGGCGGACTCAAGTAAACACGTCTATCGAATGCAGGTGGATCCGACGTTGAAACGTATCAACATTCGTTCCAATCTTAAATGGGACCACGATCGAAGAACACGGCACTCGATAGAGCTAGGAACGACAAACTGTCCCTCTGTCGGCGTTTTGAGCACGTGTGATAATATTGACTCTCCACGGTGGTGGTCAGAAGTGAATAAGCGCCACGAAATAGAATCCTAATCAAATACGAAACATGCTCGCTTTCCAGATTCCAATCTAACCGACAGCCACCAGATTTTCGAGCATTCTCGTCATTCGAATAAAATGTGACATTGAAATCACATTGGATATACTACGTCTGAAAATTTTTCAAAGGACGGACATTTCGAAATCCTCCTTGTGATAAAATTCTGACGAGAAAAATATGTATAACAAAGGAAACCTCGCGAAATGTTAAATTCTGATCTTAATGAAATTTTCTGTATATTTAGATTACATAAATAGGTAAATTAAAAAAATATCAGTTGCGGCTAAGAAACGGTTTTAAGGGATGAAATCACTCCTTATATATAAAGCAGTTTTAATTTTCGTGATATCTGAAAAATTACTCAAGATATCAAAAAATGTTTTATACAAAAGTTTTATAACAAAATTACCTCTATTTATTCACGTCAATAATATTTAAAAAAAAATGCTATTTAAGAAATTGTTGAAAATTTGTTTCATTTTTATATTTATATTTTTATATTTTTGAAAATTTGTTGTCATTTTTATATCAGGTATGATATACGTGCTTCTTTGATATTATTATTAAATGATAGAGCAACATAATTTTTATTTCAAGTATCACGTACATGCTTGATTGATATCATTAATTAATCTAACAGAATGATATCATTTTTATATCAGATATGACTTTATTGATATTATTAATTAATATGACAAAGCGACATCATTTTTATATCAAACATCACGTACATGTTTGATTGATATCATTAATTAATTTAACAGAGCGATATCATTTTTATATCAAGTTATCACGTCAGTTAATAATAATACAATGCATAAGTGTGATATAAGATATGTCTGATATATAAACGTGATATTACTATCAGGTATATAAATAACACAAAACTTGCAATAATTTCAGTATAAGATATAACCTGCAAGAATAACGATTAATTCAAGTGCAAAAAATCGTCAAAATATTACAAATGAATCCTGCGAATGTTCTTAATATGTTAATTATTTTTTTCCAAATTTCAAATATTCCGGAAATACTTATAAATGATAAAGAAATCGAATTACGCGTTATGATAAAAAATATAATACAAACTTCGATGATGTGTCATTTGATATTAAAAACCGATACTATGTTAGAATTTGAAAATTATTGGGGATCAAACTTATCTGACGTAGAATTTGTCGCGGACAATGAAATGAAAACATTTGAAGAAGATTATAAAAGTGATGATCAAGAAGACGGTTGTACCTACAAACGTTTTCATTGAGACATCAAAATCGGGCAAATTAACTATGCAACACTTTCAGTCTTGGTTTACAAATGTTTGTACCTATTAGTTTGTACCTTTTAGTGGAAGTTTTAGTGTGCTATTATTGGACTCTTGGAGCGGACATTGTCCTGCAAGACCTCGAGAATTTATGCCACATCATAAAGATATACAGATTTTAACTATACCAAAGAAAACTACGAATGATTCAACCTCTTGATGTTTACAGGTTCAGAGTATGGAAAAACTTTGTGAGAACATTCAGCGATCGCGTTACGCTATTAAATTATGATATAACTTTACATCTCCGCGATTTCATAATCTTGTGAAATAAGCCTGATTCAAGAATGGATATATCGAAGAACGGCCGCCACATTTCGAAAATCCAGCAGATTTCTGTTCTTCTGGAAAGGATCTACAAGAAGTAATACGCTGTTCCACATATGGTGCACCTGGTATAATACGTTATTCCTGGTGCACGGAATGTTATATGCAACATTCCTTTGAACAGTACCATAATGGTGAACATTTTGTCATACACATATACATTCTCACGGGATCGGACGCGTTGGTAAACATCGAACGTCGCCGTTACGTTAACGTTCTACGTGCCGACGCTCTCGGAGGTAACGCGCATATCGCGAAAGTCGCCGTGTATTCCGGAAGCGAACGTTAACGCGAGAAATATCGTGGAAAGCGGCGTATCGGCTGCNGGGGGGGGGGGGGGAAGGAGGAGTGAGAGAATAAATTACGGCCGCACGGTTAACACCGTGCGCGGCATCGTTATTCTCAGCGTGTGGCGCGGGGTTGCGAATTATATCATTCGAGTGTTCGCGGACGCGGTGCACACACACCGTCATTACAATAATCACGGTAGAGAGCCCGCGTTCGAGGGTGCCCATTGTTCTAGTCCGAACCGAGTCGTTCGCACGTAGGTGTCTGAATTTCTCGTATGGAAAGTGACGAGAGGCACACGTATCGGCTGTCTCCGCGTATCCGCCGAAACGCGGCCCGAAACGGAGGAGGCGTGCGCAATTATCGAGAGTACACGTACACGAAAAGATCGAATCTCCCTTCCGTCACAAATCGAACTGACGCAAAAATCCGTAAGCATGAAATATCAAACGTAAGTAAAAAAATCCCGTGTGCGTTTCCACGGCGTCAAATATAAATCTCACTTCTGTCCGTACGTATCCGTCGTAGCTCGTGTCGTATTTATTTTCTTCGTCGATTCAGCATTATCGCCGATGACCGTGACGTCATCGTATACTTTGACCGGCGTGTCCATTCCTCGATATGAAAATCCGAATCCTCGGTAAATGAATATTCACTGCGACGGGAATAAACGAAACGAGAAAGTATTCCGTTCGTCCGGTGTTTACTCGCGCGCGGAGACCGGCAGATTAGATCGCGCGCGCCGTCGATCGTACCTGTATTCTCTTTATCCCTCGATAACCGCCCAAGATGAGCGGAATAAATCAATAGACGGACACGAGAGAAAGCTCGAGTTTGGGCAAGGGACGGCAGGTAGAACTGTCGTCTTAAATAAATAAGTGGGCGCGGATCCATTCTTCGAGAAGAAAAAGAGAGAGAGAGAGAGAAAAAGAAAGAAAGAGGGAAGAGAATCACTACACTCCCACATTCGTGTCTCGCCGAAGAGACATCCGCGTGTGTGTCGGTATTCCTGCATAATTCATGCACCACGTCGTCCACCACGTGATCGCCGCGTATTTCCCTGCCCGGCAGTCGGATATCGCCCTGGAGTCCTGCATCGTCCAGCCCGTTGACACGAAGAAGCCATCACCGAAGGTACGAAACGTATCAATGGCCGTCGATCCATGGATTATCGTGAGATGTACGAAATCGAGACGTACGAAATCGAGACGCGGTGTTACACATTAAACGTTAACGGCACTCGTCACGCCGTGTTACATAGTTTCGCAGAGCAGAACGGTCTTTCTCCTCCTCTCCAATTCCGTCTTTCCTTCCCTTTGCAGCCGGTGCGCGCGGTCCTCATGAAGACATTTTAACGAGATTTAATATATCCTAGGCACGACAATAGCTAAATTTACCGAAGGCTGAGTCGCGGCGCGTTTATACCCCGTTGCGCTGCAGCCACTGCGGATAACTGCGCCCGCCGTGATTTATCGCCACGCCGCCACCATCCGATTGTTTTATTGTTTATACCTTATAGTTTCCACGCTTCGCGGGTGTACTCGCGCGCGCAACAAAGAGTCGTGGGTGCGAGAAAG